CTTGTGCCGCCTCACTTTCTTGAAAGATTTCAATTTTTATTCCATCAATTCCTGGTGCCTTGTTCTTTGCCAATTCCTTCAGTGCACTTTGGACTGCCTCCCTGAGTATCATTGGCTCTTGTTCACATGGTACCTCTTGAAATGGTTGAACATTAACATTTCCTTTTGGTACAATGACTCTGTGTATTCCTTCCATCTTTTCTTGATGCATTCTGCATCATTTAATAATTTGCCCAGAGAATCTTTCAATAACGAAAGTTGAGGTTTGAATTTTTTTCTTCAGTTCTCCCAGCTTGAGAAATGCTGACCGTGTTCTTCCTTTTTGGTTTTCTAATTCCAAATCTTTGCATATTTTATAGCATTTGGCTTTATCTTCTCGAGTTGATCTTTGAAATTTTCTGTTCAGCTCTTGGACCTTTTCAATTCTTCCATTTGCTTTATCAGTGCCTTTACATATAAATTCTAATTGTCACCTATTAAAAGTTGTGTTTCTGATAAGGCTTTTCCCTTGCTTACACTGGGAGTCCTTGGGTAGTGCAGGTGGTTAAAAGCTTGGCTGGTGAACTTGTACTGCTGACCTTGTGGTTCGAACTGACCTTGCAGTCCTGCGCATTAACCCACAGTGCCACACCAGGACTCCAGTTGTGCACATAGCCCATCGTTCTAGCAGGCAGACCACATGGAACCGATTTTAGGAGAATTCAGCTGTTTTGTTTCTGTCCTGACTCACTTTTGGCAAAGTGTACCTAAGATTTTGCTCTTGAAAAATGACTATTTATTTGAGTTCCTTTTGAAAATATAACTGAGGTGCTTTAATTTATTTTGTAAGTCTTACAAAACAGTTTTGATCCATTTAATATGCAAATATATACTGCTGTATTTATTTGATATGAATTTTATAGATGGAAAGAAATTAGTATATTAAAGCTTTGTATGACTGGTTGAGGGAAAACGCGTTTCTTAAACCCTAATTATTGGAGTCCTGTTGTGGTGCTGCAGGACAATGCGCTGGACTGCAAAGTCAGTTTGAACCGCAAAGTTAGTGATTCAAACTTACCAGCCACTCCCTGGAAACCATATATAGGATTGCAACAGACTTGACGGCATTTAACAGCAACTATAGCAATTATCTGCTGTTAGTTTTATTTAAGCTCTCTATCTGATAAAGGACTAATGGAGTAAGTAAGTTTAAATTAAAGCAAATACAAGCTTTTAAAAATTAAAGCAAACACTGAGAAGTTTTTCAGACTTATTAAAGGCCTCTGTGAATAGGATGTGTTAAGTATAAATGAAATGACTTCAAGCTTTGAGTTACTACATAAACAGATAATATAAAGATGATCTTTTTACTCATTAAACAGAGAATATAACATAAATAGTAGTAGTAGAAGTGTATTGAAATGACTACAAATGTGGATTTTTTGTTTTTTGGTTTTTTTCCTCTGTGGCATAGCTGGGAACTTCTCCACTTCATCTAGCAGCACAATATGGGCATTATTCCACCACAGAGGTGCTACTCCGAGCTGGTGTAAGTAGGGATGCCAGAACCAAAGTGGACCGGACACCGTTACATATGGCAGCTTCTGAGGGCCATGCCAGCATAGTAGAAGTTTTGCTTAAGGTATGTGTTTTGTTCTTTGTTTTTGAAAGTGAGTCCCTAAAGCTTTTTTTACAAAAAGGAGATGAGAGCTGGATTTATTGAATGCATATGTTACCTTACTTTTTTTGTATGTATGTATGAAAAAAGATATGCTAAAGGTTTTCTTTGTGAGGAAAAAGAAACTTCCTTTAGGTGTAATCTCAGTCAAGAATGGATGTTTTTTAGAATTTGAGCTACCCCATGGTAAGGGGGTACAGCTTTGTGTTCTGCACTGTTAACTATAGTCAAACACTGTTAAATTGCTCATAGAAGATAGCAGTAAGGTTGACTGGTTAACATATGGGGATTTTCCTTTTATCTAAGTGCCAAAGAGTTGCACAGAAAATTCTAAAATGGACAGTGATAAATTTAGAAATTATTCTCGATGCTTCTTGTCCTGGACACTAACTAGAATAGTGCTACCTAGAAGGAAAATACTGCTGTAAGTATGAATAACTTGTAATTCTAAATTTCTAGTAACTAACTAAGGGGTTTTGGTGTGGTGCTACAGGATAAGCACTCCTGGAAAACCCTATAAAGCACTTAACATTAACAACAACATTTGAATAAGGAGTCCTGGTAGTGGATTATAAACTGGGCTGCTGTCCACAAGGTCAGCGGTTTGCATCTCCCAACTGCTTTACAAGAGAAAGATTTGAAGCCTCAGAAGCCCTTTACAGGGTCTCTCTGTGTTGGAACTGACTCGATGGCATATAACCATCCCACTTAATTACATGAAAAATAGTTTACTATTGTGTTTTATTTGACCCAATATATACAAATAAACTCCAGCCACCAATATGAAAAATTATTCATGAGATATTTTTCTATCCCCTCCTTTTTTTTTTTTTTTTGATACCAAGTCTTTGAAATTCAATGTGCATTTATTCTTGTTCAGACTTATTACATTCAAGCGCTTAATAATCACATGTATCTAGTAACTACCATAATGGTTAGCATACCTGTAGATTGTAGTTGCTGTTAAGTGCCATCGCTTCCTTTTAATTCATTCTATTGCACTTGTTTTGAAAACAAAGGATATTTTTCTGTAAATGAGGAGCTAGGTAACCAACTCACATAAACAGTATTAAAGAAGAGTTTGGAGAAATGTGGTTTTCCTTCTACCTGATGTCTTTTTAACTTTTCATGCCCATAGCTGGGTGATTTAAAAAAAAACACACAAAAAAAAACGCTGCTTATGAAATTAGAAGGAAAGCCATTAGGAAAGTCAACATAATAGAAAAAAATTATTGATGGATGGTGGTGATTCCTGGAACATAGGGATTATTTAACATAAATAATGTTGGTGGCAAATTCTTTCTTTAAAGCTTAGTGACTAGTGTTTCCATATCAAGAATTATGTTTCATAGTTTAAATATCTCTTATTTTGAAATATTTTTATAGCATGGTGCTGATGTCAATGCAAAAGACATGCTGAAGATGACAGCTCTACATTGGGCCACAGAACACAATCATCCAGAGGTGGTGGAACTTTTAATCAAATATGGTGCTGATGTACACACACAGAGTAAATTTTGTAAAACTGCATTTGATATTTCAATAGACAATGGGAATGAAGATTTAGCAGAGATTTTGCAGGTAACTGTTGGCTTCTAATTTAAAAAAAAAAAAATCAATGAAAGGAAACTTATTTATGGTTCTCTGTCTTGTAGATGATTTGAAGTATTTAATTTGGAGCTTTTGATTTTGGACTGGCCTTTTCCTCTTTGTTCATTACTGTTCATGCTCCTGATTATATGACCACGATCTTTTTTTTTTTTTTTTAAGTTTTTATTGTGAATTGAGTGATATTGTGAATTGAATGAAGGTTTTTACAGAGCACATGATCAGTTTTACATTCTATAAATCCTACACTTTGTTTCATCTGAATGATTGCAATCCCCTCCATGGAAAAATAGTTTTCCCACTTCTTCCCTGTGGTTCTTATTTCCATTCCATATAATTTCTGAATTTTGTCCTTAAGTAAATATTGCCCTTTTGATCTTGAATAGTTGACCATTCTATAGGGAACACACCATACTAGATTTGTTGTCCCCCTGTATATACATACATGTCTACTGCCTAACTGGAAATTGGAACTTGAAGGGTGAGTTCTGTTCCAGACCTGAAGGGGGCTTAGAGCCATAATCTGGGGTTACTACAGGCTTATTCTGAGCAGTTAGTCTGATCTTTTTTGTAATTTTGAGTTTTGTTCCTCATTTTCTTCCACTCTATCCAGGACCTTTTAATGTGATCCTTTTCAGAGCATTTGGTAGTGGTAGCTGGGCATTATCTATCTAGCTCTTCTGGTGACTACAATCTTTTATTGTAGTATCAGAAGATTAGATAAAGTGATTACTCTCTGTGTTCTAAATTCCTGAAATCCTCTTCTAGGTGTTTTATTTCATTAACTATTTTGTTTTTATTTGGTTATATTTGGGTTTTTCAAAGTTTACTATATTTTCTTTTAAAAATATTTTTAAAGCAACCATAATAGTGTCCACTGAGTGAGTGATATGGTCTTTATTACTTATTTATTTTTCACCATCCTCAAAATCTGTTGTAGACATAGTTATTTCTGTTTTTTAGCAGGTTTTCAAGTCACCAACATTATTTCTCTTCTTTTCAGTTAGATGACATTGATGTAATTACTGTCTTTATATAGTGCCTCATCGTCTTGCCAGTCTTGTTTCTTTTCCCAGTAGAGCTCCTTTTCTCAGACCATTCAACTCCACTGAATTTTAATAATTTAAAAGATGTTTTGTGTTCAGGAAAATGAATTTTGCTATGCTTCTTCCCATTCTTTTACTTCTAGGAGTGCTGTTTGGGGTCCAAGGTTAAAAATGAAAAGCTATAATTGAGAAGGTCATTTGTTATATATGTAGTATTATATAATGCTGAATGTAGTAATGAGGAAATCGTTTGGTAATTGTATCTCTGTAGCGACAGAGCAGCAGAATATCTTTCATTGTCCAATATGTCTCTGTTCTTTACGGCCTTTCAGATACCAGTTTCTTTTCTCATGGAATTTTTCTGTTTCACCTAATTGAGGAACTTAGGATATAAACTCATATAACTATGTTATAGCATTGTACTCTGAGTAGGCCATAAACAAAGATTTCCTTTTTGATTCGTCTTGTCAGGCAATATTTCTTTCTTTATGTTTGTACTGTTGAGTCTCTGTGCTATATACGGGTTCTAATTCTGGAACACTTGTGGTGATTTGTCCTCTAGATTGCAATGCAGAACCAAATCAACACAAACCCGGAGAGTCCTGACACTGTGACGATACATGCCGCTACCCCACAGTTTATCATTGGACCTGGAGGGGTGGTGAACCTGACAGGTCTGCTTTCTTCAGAAAACTCATCCAAGGCAACAAGGGATTGAGAGGCATGTAGGATAGCTGGTGGATAGTTGTTATGCTTTTAGTAGGTGTTCATCCTTTTAAGAAAGAACTGTTGGAGAATAAGGGTAAGATTATATCAGCTACCTTGGTCTTGCTTGTTATGTTTGGAAAAAAACAAATTTTTGTGAGGCCACATAATCTCAAGAAAGATAAAATTGCAAACACACTGCAGTATCATCTTTCAGAACAATGCTATGCAAGCTTATCTTTTATAAAGCTAATACTAGCCAAGCTTTATTTAAGAGTTGACTAAGAGTATCAGACGTAGGCATTTGATTAAATTCCTTAAAAAGTCAAATCTGTTTTTTTCTTTTTTTTAATAGATGAAACGGGTGTATCTGCTGTTCAGTTTGGAAACTCATCTACATCAGTATTAGCTACATTAGCTGCCATAGCCGAAGCATCTGCTCCATTGTCCAATTCTTCAGAAACTCCAGGTTAGAAAATCCAGTCAAATGTGTACATTGACGGTTGCCGATTCAAACATGTCCGAAAGGCCAGATAGGAAATAGAGAAGGCTAAAGTGGGCAGGGTTGAGATTATGTTTGGTGTAGTGACTGGCCACTGCAGGGAGACATGCTACTCACCTCTAGCAGATTATAGTCATGTGACCGGTGTTGTTGTGGTCTCTTTTTACATAGGAAGCTCAAAAATGTATTTTAAAAGACTATTAGGTCTTGCTATTAAATGTTGGCGACCAATTGAAATTAAAAACAACTTTGTATGATTTTTACAGAAAACATATCTGTGTGCTCAATTTACCCTGGTTTTACCAGTTTGTGACCTTTTGTATAAAGTAGATACATTTATGTGAAGTTGCTATCCTTTTTATAGCTTAATTTTTAAGAACCTTCTGGAAGGTTTTAACTCTTGTAGTTAAGTCATTGATCCATTTTGAGTTAATTTTTGTATATGGTGTGAGTGTCAGCTCTACTTTGAGGATGCAACTGAATGACAAATTGTAGAGGAATGGTGTCACATTCATCATCAAAAGTAGCATCTCAATATCTATATTGAATACAGTGCTGTCTGTGATAGGATTATATCCATACGCCTACAAGGGAGACCTGCTGTGGCGGTGTATGATATACACTGGACTGCTAATCATGCTAACTGCTTGGCTGGAAGTTCAAACCCACCAGCCACTCCAGAAAACCCTGTACAGGGTCACTGTGAGTCAAAACTGACTCGATGGCACACAACAACAACAGCAAGGGAAACCAGTTAATACCACTGTTCTTTTTTTTATTATTATTATGTTTTATTGTGAATTATGTGATAGTTTACATGGGACAACATTAGCTTTACATTCATCCTATTGTATATCATTTCATTGCCATGGTTAAAATCCCCGCCATGTATCATTAACCAACCAAAGGGTGTACCCTGTAAGCCTGCCCCACCCCCGCCCCCGGTCATTAGCACACAGCCCCTCTCCTTTTCTGGATCTAATGTCCCCAGCTGCTCCATCTCTCCACATCATCTCTGCCTCCATCTCTGACGTCACTGCTTCTCTGGGTAGGGTTCCGCTCTCTGCTCTTCTCCCTTGATGGTCCCAGGGACCTCCATTCCTAAACTGCAAAGTTAATCACTCCCTTCCTTTTGCTACAAAACATCTACCTTTACATTTCCAACCCTCACAATCAGTCCTGATAACAATTATTCACTATTGTATCACAAGAGACATATCCACATCTCCTTTTTATCAACCCCACCTAGACAGTTTGGATACTACTCAGTGGAGATTCTACCTTGCTCTATGCCCTCTGGATCTGGGTTCCCTCTTGAAAGCTTATAAGCCAGTCATTCTTGCCTCTGTAGCCCCGCCACTTTGGGTAGCCAATGTCCAAGTTGCCCATTCCTGTCTACTCTGTGTATGGAGGGGGTGGGAATGATCCTTGCTGTAAAGATTTGTTCCCTGTTTTGAGCTACTGCATCCATAGGTGTAGGTTAAGTTCATCAAATTGTATTAGATTACTCTTTTTTCCCTCTTCTTTCTTCTTCTAGTTGAGCTCTGATCATTCAGTCATTGAAGCTAGGTCAAGTGTGGGTGTTCTTTTGCGTATGCCCTCTCTTCTTATCAGCTGGATGCTTCACTCTCCACTCTAGTCCTCTGTGGCTATGTCATTGACTCCAGGCCCAAGAGTCTCCAGGTCTTGCCACACTGCTGGCCAACCAGGTCTCCAGCTGGGTTTTCACAGGAGTCTATTGAACGTTGTAGGGCTTAGCTCGCAGCTTCATTGCTGTTTTTCCCTCACTTCCCCATATCGGTGATGAATATGGTCACCAATCATAGCATGTGTTCCCATTGAGTCTTAAGTCTTGGAAGAGGGTTTGCTCTGAGGGGACCTGACCACTTGTCTTAATGTCTCCTGGGCATGCCACTTGCTTGTTCTTGTAGTAATCAGTCGGTCTGCCAATGTTGTTTTGTATTTTTCCTGTTGGTTTTTCTTTCAAGAAGTATTTTCTGTTCTTCTAACTGCTCCAGGCTGGTCTGCTTGTCCTTTCAAGTGGAAATTTCCCACCTCAGAAGATTCTGGATGCTATTCAGGATTCCACCTATTGTCTTATGTAATGGCAGAGGCTCCGCAGGAAGCCTCCATCACTGGGCATGTTGTAGCCCCATTTTAGGTATTCCAATCAGTTCTAGGTAGAAGACGGACTTACAAGCTTTCTATGGTGGTATTTCTGGCTATGCCTTTCTCTCCCCATCAAGTGCTATTTTATAATGATATGCAAGGGAAACCAAGATTCAAAAGACAGCCAAGCATCTTAACATTATTTTCTCTCTTTCCCCCATTCCAACCATGTCTCAATCCCTGTATCCCAGAGCCGTGTTGTCCCAAGATTGTGCAAACATCATTATTTACCTCCATCCCACTTAGCCCATGCAAACCTGCCTAATTGTTTTACCATCTGCTTTGTTCTTCCATTCCCCTCGCCCTTCTTGTATATTCCCCTCTCTCCAGCACCCAAACTATCCTGTGTCTATTCCCTACCCTGTGCTACACCTTTCCCTCCCCCATCCCTGTAACCATCAAAGAATCGGCTCCCATCCCTCCCTACCCCCCAGTATGGGTTCTTTTTCTTAGTCTTTTACTGTAGTGGTCCTACGCAGTATTTCTCCTTTTGTGACTGACTAATTTCACTCAGCATAATGTCCTCAAGGTTTATCCATGTTATGTGGTGGCTTGCAGCTTCCTTGTTATTCTTCAAGGTAGCATAATATTCCGTTGTATGTATTTACCACAGTTTGTTTATCCATTCTTCAGTTGATGGGCTCTTTGGCTGTCTCCATCTTTTTGCTATTGTAAATAATGCTGCTATGAACATTGGTGTGCATATATCTACTCGTGTTATGGCTTGTTTTTCTTGTGGGTAAATACCAAGTAGAGGAATTGCTGGATCATAAGATATTTCTATTTCCAGCCTTCTGAGGAAGCTCCATATTGTTTTCCAGAGAGGTTGGACCATTTTGCAATCCCTCCAGCAATGCAGGAGCGTCCAGTTTCTCCACATCCCCGCCCACATTTATTGTCCTCTGCTTTTTGATCTTTGTTGTTATTGCTACATACCACTATTATTCTAATTTATGCACCAACAACTAAAGCCAGAGTTGACTAAATTGAAGAATTCTACCATTTTTTTTCAGTCTGAAATTGATCAAAAGTGCAATGAAGATGCACTGGTAATTATTGGTGATTGGAATGTGAAAGTTGAAAATAAAGAGGAACGTGAAGGTTCAGTACATGGAAAGTAAGTTCTGGACCAGTGCTAACCACAAGGTCAGCAATTTAAACCTGCCAGCTACTCCTCAGAAACACTAAACAGGGTCGCTATGAGTGGGAACCAACTTGACAGCACTTAACAGCAACAACAATAGAACCAGTGCTGGAGATTGCATGATAGAAATTTGGAAGACCAGCAGTTACTCATTGTAAATACCTTTTTACTACAGTATGAAAGAGACGTGATTGATGGAATACACAGGAATCAAATTGACTGCGTCTGTGAAAGAGACAATATCATTCAGCGTAAACAAGCCCAGGGGAAGATTGTGGAACAGACCATCAATTGATCATTGCACTTTCAGGCTGAATCTGATGAAAATTGAAACTAGGTTGCAAGAACCAAAATATGCCCTTGACTATATCCCCACTTGAGACCTTCTCAAGAACCGGTTTCATGCATTAGACACTCATGACCTAAAACCAAAAAGAGTTGTGGGATGACATCAATAACATCATATGTGAAGAAACCAAAAGGTCATTAAAAAAAAAAACAAAAAAGAAAGAAAAGACCAAAATATATATGAGAAGAGACTCTGAAACTTGCTGTAGAGCATAGAGAGGTTAAAGCAACTGGGACAATAGAGGAAGGAAAAGAGCTGAAAAGAAAATTTCAAAGGACAGCTCGTGAAGACAAAGTAAAATATTATAATAAAATGTGCAAATACATGGAGTTAGAAAACAAAAGAAAAGAACATGCTCAACATTTCTAAAGCTGAAGGAACTGAAAAAAAATTCAAGCCTTGAAATATTGAAGGATTTTATTGGTAAAATATTGAGTGATGCTAGAGGCATGAAATCAAATGATGTATTGCATTAGGTAAATCTGCTGCACAAGACCTTTTTAGAGTGTTGAAAAGCAAAGATGTCAGCTTGAGGACTAAGGTGTGCCAGACCCAAGCCATGATATTTTCAGTAACCTCTCATATGCATGCCAAAGCTGGACAGTGAATAAGGAAGACCATAGAAGAATTGATGCTTTTGAGTTATGATGTTGGAGGAGAATATTGAAAGTGCCATGGGCTGCCAAAAGAACCAACAGATCTGTGTTGGAAGTGCTGCCAGAGTGCTCCTTGGAGGCCAGCATGGCCAAACTTCATCTCTCATACTTCGGACATGTTGTCAGGAGGGACCAGTTGCTGGAGAAGGGTATCATGTTTGGTAAGGTGAAGGGTCAGAAAAAAGAGGAAGACCCCCAGCAAGATGTATTGACAAAGTGGCAGCATCATTGGACTCAAGCGTGGCAGCAATTGTGATGTTGGCCCCGGATCGGGCAGTGTTTCGTTCTGTTGTGTGTAGGGTCGCTATGAGTCGGTACTGACTTAATGGAACCTAACAACAAAAGAGGCATGAAACGAAGGTGGAAGTAATACACAGAATCACTGTACAAAAAAATAATTGCTCGATGCACAACCATTTCAAGAGATACCACGTGATCAAGAACTGATGCTATTGAAGGAAGAGGTCCAAGTAGCACTGAAGGCATTCATGAAAACTAAAGCTCTAGGAATTGACAGAATATAGATTGAAATGAACAAACTGATGTGGTACTGGAGGCCCTAACTTGTCCTTGCCAAGAAATTTGGAAGACAGCTACTTGGCTACCTGATTTGAAAAAAAATCTGTATTTGTGTCCATCCCAAAGAAAG